ATCATAACCCTTTTTTTTTTAAATGAAAAATTATAACTTCTATATAAACCTCAATATAAGATCAGTTCAGGAAGAGTAACCCAACAATATAGTAAACAGCATAATACAGTCAGTGTGTGTGTGTGTTTTAATCGTATTTTGATTCGCAATAATGAACGAGCTTATGGAAGTACAGAGTCCAGCACTCATAAACCCACAATTAGACTTGCACAAGTCAACCTCATCATCGTGTCCCAACTCCCTCCAGAAGACCCCCGAAAGCCCATTTGCAAGCACGGCCCACACAATGACCCCTTTAGCCAACCCGATGAAAAGATCCTTGACAAGCTTGCAAGCTTACTTGGAAGAAGTTGGGCATCTCATGAAGCCCGACCCGCAGGATTCATGGCTGCCCATCACTGAATCCCGGAATGGAAATGCTTATTACTCTGCATTTCATATACTCAACTCTGGAATTGGATTCCAGGCCCTCCTTCTTCCTCTTGCATTTACAACTCTTGGTTGGTGAGTCAATATTTTTTTTTTTCTTTTTGGGCTTAAAGAAAGAATTATTTATAGGCTTGTTTGGCTAATTAATTTGCTTGTTTTCTCAGGGTATGGGGGACTATAAGCCTATCTTTGGCTTTTGTATGGCAGTTGTACACTTTGTGGTTGCTAATCCAGCTCCATGAGTCTGTGCCTGGAACACGCTACAGCCGATACCTGAGGCTTGCAATGGCTGCTTTTGGTAATCAACTAATTATCCTGTTTCAACTGACTATAAGATCAGCTAAACTGTAATTTCAAGAAGAAATATTCAAACAACAACAACAACATAGCCTTTTAGTCTCAAGCAAGTTGGGGCAAGAAGAAATATTCACATAATCAATATATGTTAATCCCATTTTTCCAGGGTTCCTGGCAAACAGCTCCCTGCACTCGCACTTTTTCTTGTTTATTATCTGCAGTGCTGATTGTCCATGCACTTGATTCCAAATCTTCCATCTTTGAACAACTCATTGTCTTTCTCCATGACCAATTTTGGTTTTTCTGTTTTTCCCAGGGGAAAAGCTTGGCAAGTTTTTGGCCCTGTTTCCAACTCTGTACCTAGCAGGTGGAACGTGCGTTAGCCTCATAATGATGGGGGGAAGAACGTTGAAAATATTCTTTCACACGGTGTGCAGTACAACCTCCAATGCCTATTCAGTGTCGACTGTCGAGTGGTACATAGTCTTCGTGTGTTCAGCAATCATATTATCTCAGCTTCCTAACCTGAATTCCATTGCCGTAGTTTCTCTAATTGGCGCAGTCACTGCCGTTACATACTGTACCCTGACATGGACACTATCCGTGTCCAAAACCAGGCCTGTTAATATATCATACGGGCCCATGAGGGCAAAATCGGATGTTGAGAACATTTGCAGCACATTAAATGCACTTGGAATCATTGTGTTTGCCTTCAGGGGCCACAATCTTGTCTTGGAGATTCAGGTAGTCGAGGAAAACAAGATTTTGATTTACTTTAGTTGTTTATTAGCTATTTTCTATACAAAACAAAACAAAAAAAAAAAGAATAGAATAAAAGTGAAATGAGTTAGGTTTTTTATGTCTGCAGGGAACAATGCCTTCATCAACTAGGAATCCATCAAGGGTACCAATGTGGAAAGGAGTGAAGTTTTCATATCTAATCATAGCTGGCTGTTTGTTTCCCATGGCTATTGGGGGTTATTGGGCATATGGGAATTTGGTGAGCTCATAGGCTATCACTTCTGTAACTAGATTTGCACTGGTAGAGTGGAATAAGTTTGGTGGAGAAAGTCGAACCATGTAAGCTCACTTCAAATCATCAGAAAACTTAGAAATGATGAGAACTACACGCAAGACAGGCTCAATTCTTGAAACCAATATAAACATATGCAATACCATAACAAAGTATGTATTTCCATTATCAAATAAACAAATACCGCTAAATGTTTGATGACATTTGAATTCTTTCAGATACCAACAGACGGAGATCTGCTAAGCGCAATAGACAAATACCACAGGAACGAAACACCAAAGTCAATCCTGGGGTTGACGAGCCTACTTATAGTGGTCAACAGTCTCACCTCATTCCAGATATACGCTATGCCAGTCTTTGATAACCTCGAGTTCAGATACACCAGCACCAAAAATGGGCCTTGCCCCAGGTGGCTCAGAATGGGGATAAGAATATTTTTTGGCTGTCTCACGTTCTTCATCTCGATTGCATTCCCCTTCCTGAAAAGGCTGGCTGCATTGATTGGAGGTGTAGCCCTGCCTGTCACCCTAGCATATCCCTGCTTGATGTGGGCCAGGATAAAGAAGCCCAATAAGTTTAGCTCCATGTGGTGGCTGAATTGGGCCCTTGGGTCTCTTGGGATGGTTCTGAGTGTTCTGGTGGTCATTGGTGCAATTTGGACTATAGCAGCACAGGGAATTTCTATTCACTTCTTTAGGCCAGAATGAGTGCAGATGTTTGTAAATACAGAAAATAAACCCGAAATAGTTGTTTCTGGAAGAAGTGTGCAAATTTCATGTAATAAATAGATAGGTTGCTTGTTTGAGAACATTGAGGGTAGACAACTGATGAACTGGACAGCAAGTCGAGAAAAATAAAGACTTGCAAAATCAACTAAATAAATACTAAATAGGTAACCAATCGGTTTGTCGAATTAGAACATTGACCTTTCCTACAAAATAACTACTACTATGACCGTTTTATGGAGTCGTATAAATTACAAACAACTAACAGTTTTGAATCTTCTAGGGCCAAGTGTAATTACATTACCTTAACAGAAGAGAAAATAAACTGACCGTTCGTAAACAGCCAAGAACTCTCACAATATACATGGGAAAGGCTGACTTGCTTGTAAGACGTTGAGAGTACACTGACATCTACATGGATAATGGAAGAAGCATCCTTCGCTGCTTCTTCCGAGCTAGCCTTACTTGTTTGGTAATTTTCATGCCCAAAAACAAAAGTAGAGCAATCGATAATAAAGTAATAGCAAGCCTAAAATGCCGAAAGTATAATGAGACAGTTGAGAACACGAAGAACGCTAAAATAACAAGCTCCCATATGACAAAGATTGCAACATCAACCCTGCAAACCATAAATAGCAAATATATCATGTGAGAGAAAATATGTTGGGCGTGAATGATATAAAGTTACACAAGCAACTAAACTAAATATAATTGCCAAAATAATATATCAGAAATTATGGTGAAAAAACGATGGAATTGTAGTGGGATAAAAAAAATTTAAGATCTCAATCGGGATTCGCACACCATGAAAATATAAATTCTTGAACCTATCTCGTGAAAATAAAAGGCTAAGCACCACACTTGCTAGTACAATTACCAAGAAATTACAATGTAAAACAGCTAGAAGGTCAGCACAAAAAAGTTGTCTAGTTCAATCATACTATGAATTATTACCAGTAAAACTTCTAAAATCCAAATAGTTCCATTCACTAAATTCATTTCACTTGACTTGGAGTGAATTTCAGACTTTTCTGCTGGTGTCGAACAATAATACCGGCTCAGTTAATATTAATATTATTCACTAAGGTGTGATAAATATTAACCAATCATCTGATGAACACTATAAACTACCCGATAACTACAAGCACAAGGGATCTATTTCTACAAGTTCTGTAAGTTCCCTTAAACAAAGAAAAAACCAATGCCGGAACATATGTAAATGCTCTATATTGTGAACAATAATAAAACTTTGCATTATAGTTAAAGAAATAGATGACTAGTGCAACATTTTGCAACAACCACTCAAACCTGCATATTAATTTTACCTTTTCTTTACCCCTTATCATTCAGTACTGACATATTTCAGTAGCATTCTAATCCGTGAATCTGCATGTACTTATAGCATCTAAGATTTGTGGATCTTCACATATTTGTACAGATAACCAATTCCAGTACAAACGCGACGAAACATGATTAAATTCTAAAGACTTGGAATATCATCCATAAAGTAGAACAACCTCACCAAAGCAACCAACAGCGGCATAGTGGAAATTGTTTTACAATGTTTTATGAATCTCCTATCTTTCCCAAAAGATAAAACATAATCGTTGAAAATCTCAAACCTAATAACATTCAAACTTCATTCTAATGGAATAGTTTCGAAATTCTTGAATCTCATTCAATATGCACACATCACGATAAACCCCCAAACTATCCAACTTTACTGCAACAATCAAAAGACACAAAATGTTTCATCAAAGCATAGAAAATTAATAAAATCCTCAAAAAATGAACCAAAACAAACATCAAGAAAAAAAATAGAAATGAATACTGCGCGCAACACAATAAAAATCGAAAATACAACATCAAAGTACCTAGACGAGGCGACATGAGAAGTGGAGGAGAACAAAGAAACGGAAGACCAGTCATATTTGGATCTAATCTGATACTCCCTGAGCTGCTCCGCCAGCTTCGATCGCGTTATCATCTTCTTTATCTACTTTCTCCGCCGTCCCCAGCGCCTGCAGATGTACGTAGAACATCCGCCGCGAAATTGTGATTGAGGATGCCGCGATCGGATTGCGAATTTGACGATCGGAAAAGAAGAGTAACACTAATGTTGTACTTAATTTACAAAAATTTTACCTTGCAACACGTTGTTTTGTTATTCAAGTTGTGTGAGTTTTTTTTTTTTTCAATAGTTTATAAAATAAAAATACATAATTACAATTAATTATGATTATGAAGACAGCTAAAAGTCTAGAACTGCTTACAGCAAACGAATTGAGCCGAGTCGAACATTGTTCTTATTGGTTTTTCTTTTTAGCTACTCGAGCTCGTCGAGCTCGATTTATGGGGCTTAGTGCTGTTAAATTAAATTAGTCTGGCTCGGCTCGGCTCGAGTTCGGCTCGTTAAGACTCGAGTTCGGCTCGATTTCGAGGCTTTAACGAACCGAGCTCGAGCTCATTTAAAGCTCGTTTGGCTAACGAGCCGAGCTTGACTCGGCCCGATAAAGCTCGTTAAAGCTCGAAAATAGAATTTTTATATATTTTCTATAGTTCGGCTCGTTAAAGCTCGAGACCTTAATGAGCCGAGCTCGAGCTCAATTTCGGGCTCGTTTACAGCCCTAATGAGGCTCTAGCTCAACTCAATAAAAAAGTACAATCGTTCGAGCTCGACTCGAAATCATTTTTTGAAGAGACAACGATGGGTTCCAGCGGCTGCTCCATCCCCTCCTCAATCCCAGCGGGGAGGTCAAGTTGGAGATGACGAAGGAGAGGCCCGAAACTCGGGCTCTTGGAGATGTTGGAAGTATATGTTGTGTGTATAAACAGTATATTTTCAGTATATGTTTTCGTCGACACAATCTTAGTGACGTTACGACAGTTTTCTTGTGAGCAACGGCGCAAACTGATGGAGGTTGGCAGACGCGCTTCAACGGTGGAACGTCAATCTCCCGAACTGAACATCCGTTGGTTGCACAGTGAGCGGCGAGTGGTCAGCAGCGTCTGGTACCGCGATTTGAAAGGCGGAGGGTCGATTGGACGGTGACCTCCCGATCGGAGTATCGGAGGTGGCGCGGCACGGTTAGTGAAGGGTCAGCCATAGAGATTTCGGTCGAGGATGGTAGTGGGCTTTTTCGGGCTGATCGTTCCACCTGGACGGCAGCGTGTACAACGGCTCGTGGTTCGGCAACAATAAACACGGCTACGACGTGAAGTACTACAGCAATGCAAATAATTCATTTTTCAATGTTTATATGATGTTTATTTGCAGTTTATATTTGGTATATTAACATGATTTTTTGTTGAATATGTGTGGAATAGAAGGGTGATTCTGATTACTTGATGTTAATTCATACTTTATGTATTATTGTATTGGTTTATAAACCTATAATAAACTAAAAATTAAACTAGATATATGCAATTACCAAAAAGAAAAAAAATTGTTTTACAAATTTACATATAGAAATAATTAAATTTATAATTTATGTTTGGTATATTGGTGAACTTTTGATGATACTGTTGTTGAATAAAGAAATTAGACCAAACATAAATTTATCAAGTGATGTTTGTCCGATTGTTGTTCAAGAGGGCATTTTGAGTTGGTAAAAGTTATGTAAATATTAACGCAACATGTACTGACTGTAAAACGCAACGTAAACTGAAATTAGATGAATGAATATCATCTTGGGAGAATCTATTTGTTAAAAAAGCAAATACTATGAAAAACANGAACACGGAAGAATATATGTTGGTCGTTTTTCACTCTGGTGGCTTTTGAATTTCAAATTTGAATTCAAATTCCTAACTATATTTTGATCAAGTTGTTAACCATACTAGTATTCGATCATGTGTATTTGCACAAATATAAATAAATATTTTAAGTTATTTGTATGCATAATATTAAAATTATAAGTTAGATAATAGAATTATATTTTAAACATAGAGTATTATATATCATATTTATGTATATAATATTAAAATTATAAGTTAGATAATAGTATTATGTTTTAAAATTTGTTCATTAGTTAAAATAAATAGTACATGACGATTTGATTGCATCCGAATCACTATATTGATTGCATAAAATATAATAAATAATGTAATTTTTGTACTTTTGAATGATCATGACCAATTAATTAGCTGAAAAGTATTAAATTTATTATAACAATTGCTTATGCAATTTTAAGAAATTTTAATATGACATTAAAAAAAATAATTTATTTAAAAAACAATCGCCTTATTTAGATAAAAAAAAAATATATAATATTGATTTCAGAATAAATAACTTGAACAAAAGATTTTTGTAATATAATATTTTATGTTTATGTAACTTTCATGTACCATTTAGTGTATAATATAATTAATAATTTTAATAATAACTATTATATAATTCAATAAAAATATAACTATTACTCAATTAATATTAAATGCAATGGTTTTTTTGTCTTAATTAACAAAAAAAAAAGTGTAATGAAATATTATTGGGATATGGTGGATTAATGCCATAGGAAAAATTCATTAGGTTTTATTTATTAGATTTTAATTAATGATTTCCACATAGGTAAAATTTATTAGGTTTTATTTATTAAGTTTTATTAATTGACTTGTTGATATACGAAAATATCAACAACAATAAGATGAATTGTACACTACTTTGGGTGCTCGGTTCAGTAATAAACAAACTAGTGAAACTTTATCGTCTCTGACGGAATAAGAATTATGTTCGGTCTTGTTTATATATGTATCATTGATGAAAAAAAAAAAATCTCTTACATTAAATTCTGTCTCTCTTTCTTTTTATAGGAAAATTGAGGTCTTGTTACAATCTTCCTTTAGTATTTTTATTTGCATTTTCGTATTAGAGATATTCTAAGGATAATATGACACATCAACATTATATGCTTAGTACTTTACAATCTAATCTCGATATGGATGAAGATTTCAGCGTGCGACACGTGTCCTAATCGATTTTGCACTATAGGATCTTAAATTCTCTAGTCTCGTCACCATTAATGGATATTGTACAGACAATCCACCGAAATGATTGGATCTAAAAGGACATCCCTCCGTGCTCGTTAGTCCGAACTCGTTACAACAATTTGCGTTCGTCACGCGTACTCGAGCCATTTCCTCTCTATGACTAATAGAGAGTACGAACTCGAACATATTGCCTTCAATTTGGTACGGATTCCAACAATTCGGTCAATGCCTCGTACAGACTTGCTAGCAAATATATATAAATATATATATATATATATATATATATATGTCTTATAAGTTATTTCCATATTTAAAAGTGTTAGAGTATCATTTGTGAGTTGTCCCACATTGATTCTACAGGGTAAATGAGCCTAGTTTATAAGCCTAGTGGGCTACTTCTCTTATCACTAATTGGTTTTGGGATGGAACCTCAGTAAGGTGCAACTAAGCTCACCCTCTTATGGTGCGCTTCATTTGGTGGGATCGCACCCTCTTCCCCCGATTCTATAAGTCTAATATGGTATCAGAGCGCTCACCCTCCTATAAGCCTAGTGGGCTACTTCTCCTATCACCAATTTGTTTTGGGATGGAACCTCACTAACGTGCAACTAGGCTCACCCTCTTATGGTGCGCTTCATCTGGTGGGATCGCACCCTCTTCCTCCGATTCTATAAGTCTAATATGGTATCAGAGCGGGCCTGTCTTAGGACCTGCAATGACTCTCTCTACTCGGTCTGCTCTGGGCTTCGGCTTACTCTCTACCTGACTCATTCTGTGGGCTTGGGCTTACGAAGGTCACAAGTGAGGGGGTGTGTTGGAATATCAGTAGGCTCACATGAATTACACAATTCAAGGAACATAATTAGTTTCTTTTGTTAGGAAATATTTTATTTCCTATATATAATCTAATTATGGGCAACATATTATATACAATTATATTAGCTATTCTATTAATTAATGGACTCAATTAAGTGATCTAAATAAAGTAGAGTTCTAGGGCTACATAAATTGATATAGGTTGATTGAGTGGATACCTAGTATTATTAAGGTTAGGTGATAATGGGTGGTCTATCCTAATAGTATATAAAGACCCTCTTGGTTATGGTCCTCAATATACTAAATCAAACATAGTTCTTTTTTCTCCCCATCTGAATTGAGAATGACGGTCCCATATGAGGAATAAGACGATTTAGTTGAGGAAGGCCATAAAACCAACCCCGTTCATAATCGAGGACGTGTTCGTGATCCAGATCGTGTCCTTGTCAACATTCATATAGATGAGATCCGGAGATTGATAATAAGGTATTCCGCATTTAGACACAATCTCAATGGATCAGGTATTTTTATAATCCTTATGATCTATAATCTAGCGCGATGTTGATTTTCCTAGAATTGAAACATATTTTAGGATAATTGTTATTGAATTTATATTATGTGATTATAAATTCCTACATCTTTTTTTCTTTTGGTATCCTAAACTCTCACATCATAGCTATTTATTCTTGATTTCGCATTAATGCTAATCTTTTCCCTTAATCGTATGTCTGCAATTTCTTTTAAATCAGGCAGCTAGCATGTAAATCGGCCGGTGATTATCTTAGTTCAGGTATGGGCCGAAGTCCAGTAACATGCAAAAGGCCAACTTTTGCAATTCAGAGTTCAGATTGTATGAACCCAAGATTAACCTTCGTCAATTTTTACTTACCAATTTGAGAATGCATGAAAATCACATCATTTTTTTTTATTATTATTATTATTTTTTTTTTTTTGTGGTGTTCCGTGCAACATCTTTCATTTTCCTGTTTCCACCGAGAAAGAGCCCACTTGTTAGTTTGATCATAGACTCGTAGTTCAACTTTTTCAAGTGCACGAAATTTCTAATAATTGGTTTAGCAAAATAATTATATAATTATATCTAGGGGCGGATCCAGAAATTTTTTTTTGGAGGACTATATATTTTTTAATATTCATAAATTTAATTTATTGTACATAAAAAATAGAAGTTGTATTATAAAATTATACATAATAATGGTGCAATATAAATTATAAAATTTCAAACCTTAATATTAACAAATTAACATTGAACACTCTCTCAACTCATGAGTATCATTAATGATTGCCTCCATAGTCCATACTAATGGTTTGATATTTTTCTTTCCAAGCATATCTTATATGGTCTTCTTTTTCAAAAAATATCAATTTTTATGTTTTTCACATA